CACATAATCAATAGTTATATGACATATCACCAACAGTTTTATGTTACATCACCAACAGATATATGTTACATTTTCAGTTATACGGCGCCCGGGGACATACTTTCAATTTGGCGCCCCCTTGGGAGCAAATTTTCGATTTGCACCCCCCCCCCCCTCGAACTTTTCGATTTGCACCCCCCCTCGAACTTTTCATTTGCACCCCCCCCCCTCGAACTTTTCATTTGCACCCCCCCCCCCCCTCGAACTTTTCATTTGCACCCCCCCCTCAAACTTTCAATTTGGCGCCCCCCTAAGGTCGGCGCCCGGGGACATATGTACCCCCCCCGCCCCCCCCCCCCCCTCGCTACGCTACTGGTTACAGGTCACATCAATCATCAACAGTTTTACAGTAAATAATTAAGTTATACAACACATCATCAACAGTTATACAACACATCATCAACAGTTATACAACACATCCTCAACAGTTATACAACACATCAACAGTTATACAACACATCCTCAACAGTTATACAACACATCATAAACAGTTATACAACACATCATCAACAGTTAGACAACACATCATCAACAGTTATACAACACATCAACAGTTATACAACACATCATCAACAGTTATACAACACATCAACAGTTATACAACACATCCTCAACAGTTATACAACACATCATAAACAGTTATACAACACATCATCAACAGTTAGACAACACATCATCAACAGTTATACAACACATCATCAACAGTTATACAACACATCATCAACAGTTATACAACACATCAACAGTTATACAACACATCATCAACAGTTATACAACACATCCTCAACAGTTATACAACACATCATAAACAGTTATACAACACATCATCAACAGTTAGACAACACATCATCAACAGTTATACAACACATCATCAACAGTTATACAACACATCATCAACAGTTATACAACACATCAACAGTTATACAACACATCAACAGTTACACAACACATCAACAGTTATACAAAACATCATCAACAGTTATACAAAACATCATCAACAGTTATACAACACATCATCAACAGTTATACAACACATCAACAGTTATACAACACATCATCAACAGTTACACAACACATCAACAGTTATACAACACATCAACAGTTACACAACACATCAACAGTTATACAAAACATCATCAACAGTTATACAAAACATCATCAACAGTTATACAACACATCATCAACAGTTATACAAAACATCATCAACACTTATACAACACATCAAAAGTTATACAACACATCAAAAGTTATACAACACATCATCAACACTTATACAACACATCATCAACACGTATACAACACATCAAAAGTTATACAACACATCAACAGTTATACAACATATCATCAACAGTTATACAACACATCAACAGTTATATAACACATCATCAACAGTTATACAACACATCAACAGTTATACAACACATCATCAACAGTTATACAAAACATCATTAACAGTAATACAGTTCGCCATACAAATTATCATCAATAACATCTGTTGTAGACCACATCATCAAAAGTTCTAGAAGACAAGTTCATGATATGTGGTTCACAAACACCTAATTAATTTGTTGCCAGTTTGTCAACGGCCTTAAGGTTCCTGTTGGGTAAAATATTTGATGGAAGACTAAATGTTGAACATTTGCTTACACTACAATTACAATCTGTGCTAGAGCTAACAATTCACGAGCTAAAGTTGTAGAAATCTATTTGGTTTTACCAGGTCTAAATATATAAGATGACAAAGGAAGAAACTGTTATCAGTGACACGCCCAATGGACAAACTGAGCCATTAGAAAATGGACATAGTAAAACAAATGGCACAACGTCAGCCATGGGGCGAGCCATCATCAGACCAATGGAGGCAAACATGTGGAGGATACAGAACATTGTAGTAATAGCTTATCACCGTCAAATTGCCCATGGCACAGTGAGAAGTGTCCAATATCCCCTGATTCATTAGAACGATCCCGAATGTCAAGGACACGAATGTCAAGGTCACGAATGTCAAGGGCACGAATATCAAGAGCACGATCCCGAATAACTAGGTCACATTGTCGTCAATGTGCAGTGAGTTTTCAATCACTCTGCAAGTCACGTGATGGTGACAGGAAGAAGGAAAAAAACTGCCTTCCGGAGAAACATATCTCGCTCATGCAATCTAAAGATGGGCGTTCACTTAAGCCTGGGGTCTCCAAACTTTTCAGTCCGAGGGCCGCATCAACTATCAATTTTCAGTTCGGGGCCAGTTTCTTCCAGGCATGTCGTGATTTTTCTGGGCAAAGTTCCTCAGCCATTACCAACAAACGTTTTTTCCGTGGACAAAAAGATCTCCGCGGGCCGGATGAGAGGACATCGCAGGCCGCATCCGGCCCGCGGGCCGTAGTTTGGAGACCCCTGACTTAAGCAATGGATAGCGTAGTAGACTTCCTGATCTAGCGATGGCGTGCAGACGACGTGTCTATCATGTTTCGACTGTATGTAACACACACGCACATACACAAAGGCCTATTTGTGCGTGTGTGTTATTTACATACGGAACATTACTTACACATTATTTGTCAATTAATGTAGTCTGCAAAAAAAGCAAAATATATACGCCAAAAGCCTACATAAATAGCCTAAATAATTTATATATATATATATATATATATATATATATATATATATATATATATATATATATATATGCACAGTTATTAGCTGTTTATAAAATTAATCTGATTAGGCATCAGAGAGCGATTGACGAAAGTTATTTTGTGTTGATCAGTAAAACAAGGAGCAAAGAAAACACGATAGATATCTCCCGTCATCAGAGATTGGCTCGGTATCTGCTCAATAGACAGGAAACTGTCGGTATATGTTGTCCAGCCAGTGATCTCTCAATAGACAGGAAACTGTCGGTATCTGCTGTCCAGCCAGTGATCTCTCAATAGACAGGAAACTGTCGGTATCTGTTGTCCAGCCAGTCATCTCTCAATAGACCGGAAACTGTCGGTATCTGTTGTCCAGCCAGTCATCTCTCAATAGACAGGAAACTGTCGGTATATGTTGTCCAGCCAGTGATCTCTCAATAGACAGGAAACTGTCGGTATATGTTGTCCAGCCAGTGATCTCTCAATAGACAGGAAACTGTCGGTATATGTTGTCCAGCCAGTCATCTCTCAATAGACAGGAAACTGTCGGTATCTGTTGTCCAGCCAGTCATCTCTCAATAGACCGGAAACTGTCGGCATCTGTTGTCCAGCCAGTGATCTCTCAATAGACAGGAAACTGTCGGTATATGTTGTCCAGCCAGTGATCTCTCAATAGACAGGAAACTGTCGGTATATGTTGTCCAGCCAGTCATCTCTCAATAGACCGGAAACTGTCGGTATCTGTTGTCCAGCCAGTGATCTCTCAATAGACAGGAAACTGTCGGTATATGTTGTCCAGCCAGTCATCTCTCAATAGACCGGAAACTGTCGGTATATGTTGTCCAGCCAGTCATCTCTCAATAGACCGGAAACTGTCGGTATCTGTTGTCCTGCCCGTGATCTCTAAATAGACCGGAAACTGTCGGTATCTGTTGTCCAGTCAGAGATCTCTCAATAGACAGGAAACTGGAGCCATTCAACTAGACAAGACCCACTCTAGTGTCTACATAAAGCATTTATCTATACGACAGGCGTTAAAATTCCGTTAGTTCTTCTTCACTTAATCCACGGCTCACTCAGTAAGTAGAACATTGATACATTTTTAATTATAAATATTTCTCACACACACCGATGTCGAGGATTATTTGGAAATGATGGCCCAAGAAGGAGCATAAGGACGAATATGAGTTAATTAATATGTCACTTAGCAGTGGTCATATAGTGTACGTAGTCAAGTGTCATTAAAACATGTTTTTCCTTTCACTCTCTTCTGGCTCAACTCATCGTTGTTGCAGTAAACTGCTCCAGTGTTAGAAGTCTAATTCTTGGAACAAAATCTGAGAACGGAGGAAACGATTATACCCGCGATGTCAGCCAATGGAGCGAACCATCATCAGACAAATAGAGGCGAAGATATGGAGGATGCAGAAGTAGAGGGCACAAAGTCCGGCTGTTGTGGGGAAAGTAAACCTGCTAAAAAATCTGAAGCGGTTGGGGTCTTAGAGCTGGTAGGTTTTTTAAATTACCTACATAACAAAAATGCTATGTTTCAGACATACTGATACTACTGTGATACTCACTTATATACATAATACACACAGCTTGCACTCTCTATCTGTATGCATAGGCACTATATATATATATATATATATATATATATATATATATATTATATATATATATATATATATATATATATATATATATATAGTACGACACATAGTACTTGGACAATGACCGAAGATCTCAAAATTGACAGAGTATTTCGTACATTGGCCGGCCAATTCACGAACGGACAAGATGATCTAGCCAATATTCCGCGTGTTTGATATGTAGGCCTACACAAATCAGTTGATCTTGAAAAGTTACATGCCTTACATGTTGTAACTACACAAACTATTCTAAATACACAGTTTAAGTTTGCAACCTGCGTGGATGTATTTATGATGTTGATCGGCTCTGTAGCAGCAGTTAGCCAAGGTCTGGCCATGCCTGTAACTCTCAGCATCTTCGGTGAAGTCATCGACGTCTTTCTTTCAAAAGACAACAACAGGTTGGTATACAAGATTTGATTTAAATAATTTTAAAACTGGGGTTTCTTTAAAACTTGCTTCGTTTACAGCTGGTTCATTTCAAAATGCAACAAAAAATGTTTTAAAATTAAACACTTGTCTGATGCAGATACACACTTGACTGATGCAGATACACACTTGACTGATACATATACACACATGACTGATGCAGATACACACGTGACTGATACAGATACACACTTGACTGATACAGATACACACTTGACTGATGCAGATAATCTTTATGCCCACAGCACCAACAACTCAACAGAGCATGAAACTTTACAGGAAAAAGTTCTGCCTTACATTTACTACTTTATTGGCATCGGTGTTGGCTCTTTTATATGCAGCTTTTTTGCTATCAGCTGTTGGACATGGGCGGCAGAAAGACAGGTATTTTCTTTAGGTCAGTTGTTGGGTGGGAGAAAGACAGGTATTTTCTTTAGGTCAGTTGTTGGGTGGGAGAAAGACAGGTATTTTCTTTAAGTCAGTTGTTGGGTGAGAGAAAGACAGGTATTTTATTTAAGTCAGTTGTTGGGTGGGAGAAAGACAGGTATTTTATTTAAGAATCTTTCATATTTAGGTTCATAGTACTATGTCTAAGTTCAATTAAAATAAAAGTATTACATCTTCAAAAATTGAATTATTTCAATCGTAACTAAATTTAATGGTCAAGAAATAGTTGTTTATTATGGTCTCATTTATCCAGATAAACGCGCTAAGAAAAAAGTTTTTTCGTTCTGTCATGAGCCAAGAGATGGGCTGGTTTGATGTACATGATGGAGGGGAGATAAGCACAAGATTTTTAGAGTAAGCTCACTTTATTTACTTCAGCTAATCACATAATTTAAAAGTGTATGCAGAAGTGGTTTCAGAGAAAGTTGGATACGAATTTTTATTTTTAATATTAGTTTCTTCTTACTTTCTTATTATAGGTTTTTAAAATGTTTTAAATATTTGTTTCAATAAGAGTGGAAGACAAAATAATTTAAAATGTAATTTTATTCACCATGTAAATTTAAATAGATCTATATAGATCTAGTGATACAGTGTATATTCCTAATAATATGTCTATATTATTAGTATAGTATTAGTGTATAGGGGCCTAGGCCTAATAATATAATATTAATATATTGATCACACATCAAATCATATGATAAAAAGTTAGTTTTGATCCTTCAACTTTGATTCTGATTATGGATATCCAATAAAATACAATATCTTATATGATGTTTATTCTAAAGATGTTAATAAAGTAAAGTATTGATTCTAAGGATGTGAATCACATATTTAGATCTTGTCCAGATAAGCCCTGCTGTTAAGGGCAAAGATTACAGGGGCAAAAATTTGAGCCCCGTCACTTGTGAACCATAGCTGATGTCCAGACATTCGAATATTTAAGCACAAGTCATAAAAACAACTTCTTATCCATTTAGTTGTGGTTAGGGTTGGGGTTAAAGTTTAAAGGTACCAAAATACAGACCTTTTCATGCAAATTATTAATAATATGTCCCAATTTCCCCCTCTTCAGTAAAATTTAAAAGTAGGGCCTGTATCCTTTTTTATAAACTTTTTTGGGTGGCGGGTGTTAACTTTTGTGGCAGTGCTTATCTGGACATGATCCAAATATTTTATCCATTCTAGGGATGTGAATAAAATATTTTATCTACGCTAGGGATGTGAATAAAATGTTTTATCCATTCTTGGGACGTGAATAAAATATTTTATCAATTCTAGGGACGTGAATAAAATATTTTATCTATACTAGGGATGTGAATAAAATATTTTATCTATTCTAGGGATGTGAATAAAATATTTTATCTGTTCTAGGGATGTGAATAAAATATTTTATCTATTGTAGGGATGTGAATAAAACATTTTATCTGTTCTAGGGATGTGAATAAAATAGCTGAAGGGATGGGAGATAAAGTGGCCATGTTCCTGCAGTTGATGGCCAAATGTGCAGCGGCCTACGTGATCGCCTTCACAAAATCGTGGAAGTTGACATTAGTTGCTGCTGTATTTAGCCCTCTGCTAACACTGGCTATGGTTTTGACTGTCAGGGTAAATCTTTTTATTGGTAATCTCAGGGTAAAAAATTATTTTTTTTGGGGAAACTTTGAGTAAATAGAATTTTAAAATTCAAATGGCCATCATATATCATTTATTCTGTAGTATTCTACTACTGTTATTTTTAATTAGCATAACACCAAATTGTAGTAGTTGCTTTTTAAAATTCTGATAAGTTTTTAAAGATCTTTTTTATATTTCTATGTTAATTTCTGTACATAATCTCTAGCCTATATATGTATAGATGCTTTAGATGCTATTTTAAATTTTAAAAGAATCCATTTGCATGACTCTTGAAAGAAATTATTTTTTATGAAAAGTTTTTGTGTTTGAGGGTGGTTTTAAGGTATTATTTCTCTAAGTCTGTGCTTTGATTCAGGCACATGGTATGTCAGGAATTACCATCAACATGTTATAAATTTGAAATGTAAATAAGCAGGGTAAATGTGAATAAATATATTTAAAAACTGAAATTCTACAGATTATATGAAATGATGTTTTGTCATTTTGAAATGAATAATCTTTTGCTGCTTGGTCTAGATGTAGATTAAGGGCTAAAACATAAGTCATGAGTTTAGTACTCAGGAAAGACCATATGGGTAACATTAATATAATGTTGGCTCCATTTTGCGGGGCAAGTAAGCTAGAAATTCTGTTTAAATTTTTACAAAGAAAATATTTAAAACAGTAAAAATCTTCAATGTGGCGTTTCATGTAAAAAAAAAGGAAGCAGAAATATTTCTATTGGCTAGCATAAAATTAAAATTAGTTTTTACTAACTCAAGGGCAACTAAAACTTTGATGATAAACAGGTGAAGAATAGGATGGCCATAAAGGAGAGTAATGCTTACGCCAAAGCTGGGCACATTGCTCATCAGGCCCTGAGGTCAATACGGACTGTACAAGCTTTTCAAGGTCAAGAGAAAGAAAAAGAAAAGTGAGTTAAAAACCAAGTTTAAATATGATTTATATAGGCCTACAGGATATATATATATATATATATATATATATATATATATACATACATACATACATATACCAATTTAGTGATAAACAAATAGTTAAACATAACAGCTTTTTTAAAAATATAACCTAATTTTCCAAACCTACATTTATAAAGCACTTTTTCAGGTATAAAGAAAATTTAAATACAGCTGTTCTAGCAGTAACAAAACAAGGTCTTCTCTTGGGCATGGGTGAATCTCTCTTGTGGTTTTTGATTTTCCTGATGTTTGCTGGGGTCATGTGGTTTGGAATTTACCTGGTACAAAAAAAGGACAGTCAACTGTCAGGAGGAATTTTACCTGTAAGTTTATTTATGAATTGATTTATACTAATACTAAACAATCGGGAATGATATGTAGGTTATATACTATATACTATAAAGTATATACTTCGTTAGGTCTAATTATTTAAAAAATTATTTTTTCATTAATAAGTACAAATGAATCAGTACAATTATCCTAAAAATTTGTAAAAGTAAAATATTATCTAAGTTATATTGCCTAATATCTCAGCTTTGGTACACACTTAGTAACTTCTACTTTGATATGACAACTTTGTCCATTATTTTTTCTTTATACACTTGCAGGTGTTCTTCTGCGTGATGACTGGCGCAAATGCTCTTGGCAATGCCTTCAACAGTCTTGAAAGCTTTTCAAATGCCCGTAGTGCTGCATCTAAAATCTTTTCGGTAATTTCTATGGTACCAAAAGTTGATTCTTTCTCTGACTTGGGACATAAGCTTACATCCTTAGCAGGTGACATTGAGTTTAGAGATGTTCGGTTTGCCTACCCTGCTAGACCTGATGCGATGGTAAGACTAATTTTTTAGCCCAAAATATATTTTCCTGATTTTTTAAGTTATTTTTTTTTAAATTCATGGAATGTTTCTAATACATTTTTTAATAACTTTTTATTTTCATTTAGTACAAGTAGGCCAAAATATTGTTTTAAAATTTTTAATCTTTTTCATTGACGCAGGTGCTTCAGAAATTAAACTTGACCATTAATGCTGGTCAACATGTAGCCTTTGTTGGCCCTAGTGGGTGTGGCAAATCTACCTCAGTCCAGCTGATTCAAAGGTTCTATGATCCTCTAGAGGGAGCTGTAAGTATACACACATTTTAAAATTTTAAGGTTTTTTTTTTTTAAGGTGTTGGTTTACTTAGGCCTAATCTACAAGTACAAGATTTTAAATTGTACACAAAGACCTACACCAACAAAACTTCTACAAAAATCAACTTAATTTGTTTTAAAGGTGTTGGTTGATGGGCATGATGTAAAAGAATTGAATTTAAAATGGCTTCGTTCAAATATTGGAGTGGTTAGCCAGGAGCCATCTTTGTTTGATGCCTCCATTGAGGAGAACATAAGATTTGGCAGGATGGATGCGACAGAACATGACATTCATCAAGCAGCCAAAGAGGCAAATGCTCATGATTTTATCATGTTACTTCCTGAGGTACTTTTTTCTTGTGTTGGTTTAGTAAGGGTTTTATTGTGTAACACTCTTTTCCTGGTCATTTTTTACTTGATCACCATAAAATTAATTAGGGTTAAAAATGTTTATTGTTTTTTTATTTGCTTATAGAAGGCTACAAAACAAATGTTATAAAAATATACTTAAGGTTATAAAACAAATGTTTTAAAAATGTATTTAGGGCTATAACAAGTGTTTTAAAAATGTATTTAGGGCTACAAAATAAATGCTTTTAAAATGTATTTAGGGCTACAAAACTAATGTTTTTTAAATGTATTTAGGGCTATAACAAGTGTTTTAAAAATGTATTTAGGGCTACAAAACTAATGTTTTAAAAATGTATTTAGGGCTACAAAACTAATGTTTTTAAAATGTATTTAGGGCTACAAAACTAATGTTTTTAAAATGTATTTAGGGCTACAAAACTAATGTTTTTTAAATGTATTTAGGGCTATAACAAGTGTTTTAAAAATGTATTTAGGGCTACAAAACTAATGTTTTTAAAATGTATTTAGGGCTACAAAACTAATGTTTTTAAAATGTATTTAGGGCTACAAAACTAATGTTTTTTTAAATGTATTTAAGGCTACAAAACTAATGTTTTTAAAATGTATTTAGGGCTACAAAACTGATTTTAAAAAAATGTATTTAGGGCTACAAAACTAATGTTTTTAAAAAATGTATTTAGGGCTACAAAACAAATGTTTTAAAAATGTATTTAGGGCTACAAAACTAATGTTTTTAAAATGTATTTAGGGCTACAAAACTAATGTTTTTAAAATGTATTTAGGGTTACAAAACTAATGTTTTAAAAATGTATTTAGGGCTACAAAACTAATGTTTTTTAAATGTATTTAGGGTTACAAAACTAATATTTAAAAAAAAATGTATTTAGGGCTACAAAACTAATATTTAAAAAAAATGTATTTAGGGCTACAAAACTAATATTTAAAAAAATGTATTTAGGGCTACAAAACTAATGTTGGTGAGCGAGGAGCACAACTTAGTGGAGGACAGAAACAAAGAATTTCAATAGCCAGAGCACTGGTCAGGAATCCAAAGTTACTTCTGCTTGATGAAGCTACGTCTGCTTTAGATCAAGAAAGTGAAGCTGTTGTTCAAAGCGCTCTGGAAAAGGTGATTTTTAGTTAATTTAACTATAAAATCAAATTAGACTAATTGGTTTAAGTGAAAAAGATTGAAGCAGATTTATAAATATTTCAAATCACACTCAAATTATATTTAACCTTAGGCCCAACATGGTAGGACAACAATTACCATAGCACATAGGCTGTCAACAGTAAAGAGAGCTGACAAAATTGTGGCCATTAGTAATGGAGAAGTTGTTGAGGAAGGGACACATGAAGAACTTATGATAGCTCAGGGGCTTTATTATCAGTTGGTTGAAATGCAGGTTGGTTCATATTTAAATTAAAGTTAGAAAATGTTAAAAATATAGTTCATGTTTTTACTTATAATTTTTTTTTAAAATGTATGCTTGAAAAGTTGAATTAAATGTGGCCTATTCGTAAAAAAAGTCACATTGCTTTGCAGTTAGGGGTTGTCCATAAATGATGTCACATAGTGGGAGGGGGTTCAGATGGTGGGACGTCACACTTTTGCATTAAAAAAGGCAATGTTAGAAAACTAATTTTAGCCGTTATTTCGTGTTTTAGAAAACTGTTTTAATAAATTATAATAGGAATAGATTAAATACTATGTTGACAGAGTTCAGACAAGATTTTGGAAAAATATCGTATTTTAAGAAAAATTCAACTGCAATTTTAGGGGGATTGTAGGCTGAGGTGTGACATCATTTTAGGGAGGGGGTCTGACTTTTTGTGTCGTGTGATGGAGGGGAGTGGGGGGGGGGGGGGGGGGGGGGGGGGTAAAAATTGTCAAAAAAAGCGGCATTTATGGATGACCCCTTAGAAAAAAATGATGTTTCTTTTCATTTTAGAATAAAACAGCCAAACAGTCAGATAAAGGTATGTATGATTTTTTAAAAACTGTTAATTAAAGATTACTCAGACTTTGATGGCTAATAATGAATTTTTTGTTACTTTTCCAACTAACACTGAAATTAAACAATAATTAAGTTATAAAGCAACCATTAGTTGGTTTTTTTTAAAACTAATTTGTTTTTTTAAATTTCCAATAAAAAGAAGATTGTAACACATAAATAAGCACAAAGCAGCAAATTCCTTTGAATATTAAATCCAAATACCACCTCATAATGATAATATCCTATATAGGAATTTATAAAAATATAAAAGATATATCCTGGCAATATGTGTATTTTTAAGTTTACAGGATCTTTTTTAACTGTGGACAATACTTAATCTTTTTAAAACAGTTTATTTGTGTGTGAAAACTGGATATGTGAACACAAAATTTAATATTCTAAAGAAAAACAATTAATAGCTTCTGATTAACCAGGCAATGAGTCTATTGTAGAGTTTCTTCTAGGCATCTCTTCTGGGGGCACCCCCCCCCCCTCCTGAAGATAGTTGGAATTTATATAGAAATTGTTGTTGTCCCCCCCCCCCCCCCCCAAAATTTCAAGTGCACCCCCCCCCCCCCCCGGAGAAAAAAGTCTGGAAGAAGCACTGGTCTATTGTCTGTTGGGGGTTTAGTCACCTAGTTCTAATGGGGGATTAGGTTTTTCTGTATTTAAAAGGAATTTCATTTTATTTTTTTAATTATTCACTTTGATAATTACTTTAATATCTACACTCGTAACATAATTTATCATTATGTTTAAATAAAACATTTTTTAAAGTATAACCTATTTACTGAAATGTTAAGCATTTAATTATTTAGCAATGCTGTTAATACTACTTAGAATAATTTTTTTTTCTAGATCTAGATGTTTCTGATATAGAGATTGTTGAGGAAGAAGATGGTGATGGTGAGTTTAGTGAAGAAGAGCTTCTGAGATCATCATTCAAGAAAAAAATAAACAAACAAGACAGAGTCATTGAAAAAGAGGTTTATCTAGTTGCCAGAAAAAGCATCAGAAAATCTAAGAAGAAATCCAAGAAAGGGAACAATGAAGTATTACTAAATTCCTGTGCTGTAAATTAATGCTGTGTATTGGAATGAACATTAAGTTTAAAATTGTTGTCAAACTTTTAAATTTCAGACTTCAGTTATGGATAAGGAGGAAAGCCCAAGCTTTTTAAAGGTTATGAAATTCAATGCACCAGAGTGGCAGCTGATTGTGCTAGGGTGTATTGGATCTGTTTTATTTGGAGTCATTCATCCAGCCTTTTCATTTCCTTTTAGTGAATTTATCAAGGTAGCCTAACTTGAATGTTAGATATTGTTGCTAAAAAAATAATACGCAGTTTAGTTAAAGAACTAAATATTTAAGTGCTTTATAAAATCAGAAACTAATGAAATATTTTCAAGGTTTTGAGTGTGAGAGATAATACAGAACAGTGGAATCAAACCCATGTACTCGCAAGTATTGTTATTGCCATGGCTGTAATTTCTGTTATTGTTAAAATGTTGCAGGTAAGATTTTATATTTACTGTTAAGCTGTTTGATACACATTTTAGATTAACCTTTTTATTTCATTCTTTCACTCTTGCCAAAGTTGCTGTATCCCTCTTCATGTTTAAGTAAGAAAAGAGAGATAACCAATTAAATTTTAAGATATGCACATTTACAGAGTTACTTTTCAAGAATTAAAAATAAAGTTTGACAATTACTTTGATTTGCTTATAGTTAAGCTACCAATTCATACGTATTATGTGGAAGAATTAGCAACATGAAAGGTCCTATGTTAATGTAATGATGATAATGCTGCTGCTAATTTTAATTTCCATTTGAAGTAATTATTTTGTTTGTTAAATTTGAAAGCGCTATTGCTTTATTAGATCAAGTGCTTTGCTAATAGCTCGTCTTCGTGAAAAAACTTTTGAATCTCTTCTCAACCAAGTAAGTTTCTCGAGTAAATTTGTTAATTTGAATACTTAATACAATTTTTTCCACCTTCTTTATTCAAATATTTTGTAGAGAAAATTATAATAATTTTTATCTACATTTACTTACTGGATGAGGTGGTGGAGTATTAGAGCACATCCAGAAGTTTGGTTCCTGGTCTGGGGTGTCCAATAAAAAAAAAATCCAACCTTCTCCTTCCCCCCCTACAAAATATCTAACAATTTCTCCTTAAAAAATGCAAGTGTGTGTTTCAAGCCCAACCATAACCTGATAAAAGAACAAGAGACACATTAATGACATCCTAAATTTGGATCTGTGAGGGTCAATGGTTAGATCAAAGACACACATTTTATAACAATGCAAAAAATGTGGACATATTTGATGAAACTACAACAAGAATCAACTTTGATTGCAGATTACTACTAGTACTAGGATTTTTTTTAGACTCAGACCACAGCATGGGGGATGGAGACAGCTAATTTTTTCATTTAATATGTGGAGTATATACATGGGCACAGAAAGTGAAATGCTGGATACATGTTTTTTTGTCAAAGGCTGGCACACAATTTAAATCCAATATGGCATGTTGCCACCTGGACATTTATTGACTTCATAAAGAAGAAACAATTGCTCCAAGATGTTTACTTTACACAAATAAATTTAGCACACAGTTTACCAAAGCACAAAAATGTATAATATTTAAGTGCATCTTTTAATTTACCTAAACTGTAAATTAGATTTAAATTAAAACACTGAATTTGTTTGTTGACAAAACTTGTTTTTGTCAGGTTTTCCTTATATAAATTGCCAGGCTAGGGGTTGTTTTGGTCATGGAGGGGGGGGATGTCAAGGATGGGTATGTAATGATAGCAGGGCATAGTGCTGTCTCTTAACATACAATACAAACATCATAAAAACAAGTGAACTCTACCACACAAAATTAGGGGTCTGGAAGGGAAGCTTACATTTATTTGTTTACTTAATCTCAGAAATGGTGATTATCCCATCACATGAAGTAGGATTTTTAACTTGTAAATAAAAATGTTATGTTAGTATTGTTATGTTAGTGACTACTCTATTTACTTTTTGTGTTCAGGACATGGACTACTTTGACTTACCAAACAACCAGGTTGGAGCTCTTACTACCAAACTTTCTGGAGATGCTTCTATGTTACAGGGGGTAAGGACATTCTGTTGAGAAGGATTAACAAATCAAAGTTAGTAAGTAGTTACTCTAGGAGAAGGATTAACAAATTAAAGTTAGTAAGTAGTTACTCTAGGAGAAGGATTAACAAATCAAAGTTAGTAAGTAGTTACTCTAGGAGAAGGATTAACAAATCAAAGTTAGTAAGTAGTTACTCTAGTTCTCAAAGGAAGTGATCTTTGCAAAACCTGAGGGACACCATCAGTGAGTCAAACTAGGTAATCATTGAGACATGACAGTCTTACACTTTCAAATGAACACATTGTGTAGACAGCTCTATACCCAACTGCCTGTTTTAAAATACATATATCAATATATAGGCCTACATCGTGGCAAAGTGCTCACCTATTTTCTATCCAGCACAATTAATATATCTGAAACATATATAACTTATAAGTAAATTAAATATTATTAATATATTATTAATATATTTTAAGCCCAATAAAGTATTGATTCATAATAATTTAATATAGTTTTAAGAACTCGCTGTACATTCTAAGTGCAAATCTTCAAACTATTTTATTATGAATTTTCAATTTTGGTCCTGATGAAGGTCAGGTCTTAAATTTAGTGTTTTCACCAGACTAAAAATTAGAATGTACAAATTGTAGGCCTATTTTGTATTACAATACTTGATGGAAATCCTAGGAATAGTTTAATGTTTTAGATAGCCCCTGTTGTCATAGTTACCAAGAAACACATATGCTGATGGATCTTAAGAAAGCTGTAGAAAACAAAGTTTTTTCTGTAATTATACTTTTTACCCGGGACCTACCATCTTAACTGGTGGAGTCTGATTTAAATAATGTAGGCTTACAACATGCTGATTGGGGTGTCTATTAAATGATGATTGTAACAAAAGTTTGTTAGTTTAAACTCATCTAACAATTTTAAGTGACAAAAAACTCATGGATTAATGGAGGTGCTGACATATTTTAGGCAACAGGTTCAAGAATAGGCCTGGTGCTTGAGGCATCTTCGACCATTGTCTGTGCTATTTGCATTGCTTTTATCTTTGGCTGGAAATTGGCCTTTGTAGTTTTGTCGTTCACGCCTCTGATAATTATTGGAATGTTCATTCAAGGCAAAGTGAGTTCTAAGGACAATGATCAGCTGCAAGGTGCTGCACAGGTGAGAGAAGACATTTCATTGGCTGATATTATCAATCATTCATCATATTACCAGATTGTAACTTTTATTTTCAATTAACCTCATTGTAAAAATAAATAATTTTAACTGGTGCAAAGAGGTTATGGCTAAGCGAACTATGTATTTAAAATCAACTAAAGCAGACAGTGCAGACTGGCCTGAAGATGAGTCTAACTCCCCCCCCCCCCCTCCAACCAAAACATGTGGGCAAAACAAGGTCAGAGAAGATTACTAGTGAACTAAACATACCTTGCGGTCACAGTTTGAAGTGACCTCAAGACTGTAAAGTAAATTTTTTGTAGTACCTCCCCCCCCCCCACCCCCAGTAGAGAAGCAAAGCAACAAGTGTTTAAAGATACACAGTCACCTAATGTTGTGTACAATTGCTGAATGTTGCCAGACCTTCTCAGAAGTGGTGGACAATATCGCAACTGTTGTGTCTTTGGGAAGAGAAGATCACTTTGAAAGCATCATTAGAAAACAGATAGATGTAACTACAAAGTGAGTAGCTGTTCCTTGTTTAAAATGTGCATTCATGGTTAGGATAACATTATATTCATGTGTTCATTAAAATGTGTATTCATTGTTAGGATAACATTATATTCATGTGTTCATTAAAATGTGTATTCATTCTTAGAATAACATTATATTCATGTGTTCATTAAAATGTGTATTGATTGTTAGGATAACATTATATTCATGTGTTCATTAAAATGTGCATATCAGGTTGGAATATCTCTGTCATTTAATTTTTGTCTATTGCAGATCTCGCAGAAAAATATGTGTTGTCTGTGGCTTCACCAGTGGAGTTAAGAACTGTTTAGTGTACTTGGCTATTGCACTGGCCTTTTATTATAGTTCGCATCTCGTAAATAATGGAGAAATGGAGTTCCATGAAGTATTGAGGTAGCAGCTTCACAATTGTAATTACTAAAACTATTCTCTATTTGATGGCCTTAAGCAATAATTTTTATTTTAAATGTTCTTAATGAAGTAATATAATTTTGTCTTTAAAAACCTGAATATATTTATTTATTTTACAGGGTATTAGCTGCCATTATTTTTGGAGTAACGACGTTGGTTGAAAAACAGTTTTCTAGTAGTGTGGACTACACCAGAGCTAAAATAGCAGGTGCTCGCATCATTAGTATCATCAACAGAAAGCCAAAGATTGATGTCAGGGAGACAAGTGGACAGAAAATTGTGAGTTCTTGAAAGATCAATTTTACCAGTTATACAGCTTTATAACAATTCTTTTCATACAATATACACATAATGCTGACAAAAATAAGTTTCATCATTTTTGTTTGCTAAATTATCAAATTTGTATAAAAGGTATTTCTAAAAATTAACTTAAAATTGGATTTCACAACGAAAAAAAATATTAACAAAAAATGTATCAAATTACACTAAATACTAGTAAATAGACAATCTATAATTCAAATACCTTTTCTGTATATCTATTCTTAATTACCGTTTTTGACAGTTGAAACAATGTGAAACTTTAAAAAATGTTTTATTTCCAGGCCAATTTCATTGGGTGTCTGCAGCTAGAGAATGTCAACTACTTTTACCCAAGTCGGCCCAACGCTACAGTTCTAAATGGTCTGAACCTGACCATTAATTATGGAGAGACAGTTGCTCTAGTTGGTGCTAGTGGCTGTGGGAAAAGTACCACCGCCCAACTGATTGAAAGATTCTATGATGTTGTCCAAGGGGCTCTGGTAAGATTTCAGAGATAAAAATTTATTTTATGATAATCTTTGGACTTTTATTTAAAGAATACCATATTTAGTGTGTGTTGTTTCTTTTAACATAAAATTAAATCGTCGTCTCAATTTACCATTCCCTTATTCAACCTTTTTCCAAAAACATAGCTTCGCCTACTCTGGTTCTAATTTGTGGAACAATCTTCCTAATAAAATAAAGCTATCTAGATCTGAAAATATATTCAAATCTAAATTAAAACTAAAATTATTTAATGACCTAACTGACTCATTGTAACATTTCTCATTCATCTATTATATTCTCTTTTTTATCTCATTATGTATGATAGCTATGTACCATTGTTTCTTTATTCCACATTTTCAGTGCTATGTGTTACTGCTATGTGTTATTGAATTGCTTTATTTGTTTAAACGGCCAATGTGAAAAAAGGCCTTTGTGCCTACAATTGTAACCGTTGTTTGAATAAATTTGAATTTGAATAAATTTGAATAAATTTGAATTTGAATTTGTTTTCAAGCTATAGTCAATAAATGCCAATTTAGCAGTTTTTATCCTTCTTCTCTAGCTGGTGGATGGGCATGATGTAAAAAATCTGAACTTGGCCTGGTACAGACAGCAACTTGGTATTGTATCCCAGGAGCCCACACTGTTTGACTGCAGTATCGCAGAGAATATTGCTTATGGGGACAACTCCAGGGTTGTTCCCATGGCAGAGATCATAGAGGCAGCAAAGAAAGCAAACATTCACACTTTTATATCCAACCTGCCCCAGGTGAGTTTTTCATGGTGTAATGTTTAAATTTATACACCTATCATAATATAGTATAGTGTCATTAATGTACTAAGCCCATATTTTTTTTTGTAAACTGTCGATCTTCATTAACCAACCTACATTTTTTTCAAATTCAGGGTTATGACACAAATGTAGGGGAGAAAGGGGCACAACTCAGTGGTGGACAAAAACAGAGAATTGCCATTGCTAGAGCCCTTGTTAGAAACCCAAAAATACTTTTACTTGATGAGGCCACATCAGCTTTAGATTCAGAGAGTGAAAAGGTATGTAAAACAAACGTACCTTGATACACTTAGGCCTAACTACATTGTGTTATTTTTAAAAAAATCATTTTTGAAAATTAAAAATGATTTTTTATTACACTATCAAATGGAGTTCATTAAAAAAAAATGTTTTCATATTAAACAGGTAGTTCAAGAGGCTTTAGACATTGCCAGCCGTGATAGAACATGTGTAACAATCACTCACCGTTTGTCCACAATTCAAAATGCCAATAAAATTGCTGTCTTCGGCAAAGGAAAAGTAATTGAAATTGGCAACCATCAGCAGTTGTTTGATGCCAAGGGAGCTTACTACAGATTGGTAATGGCCCAAAATAGGCCACACAAAACATCTTTAAGAATTTCAACAACCTGACATGTTTACAGAAAGTCCTGATTTTCTATTTACATTTCCAGAACCAATTATTTGTATATCAGCTCGGTATAACTAAAGTAAGATGGTAATATCTTAACATGACATGTTAATGGTTATCCCCATTAATATATTGATCGACCAAGTTATACATATTTTATCAGATTTACATTAAATAAAAAAAAAATTAAAGAGAAAAAAAAATAAAGAAAAATAAAGCTTGGAAAAACTGGCCAGATAAAAATAAAAATTTGTCAACTAAGACAACTGATATAAAAACCAAAATGTTACAACTAAATGAACCAAGCCCATCAAATTTAAGCCTATTTTGTAACAAGCTAATGAGCATAAAAAAATCAAACACATATTAGTTTAATGCTGCCAGCAAGTTCTCATCATCGTGTAAATATTTTTAATTTGATGTAATTTTATAATTTTAGTTTTCTACAATGTATAAAATATAATGCAATTATTTGTGACTTATTGACTTTTCTTTGGTCTTATATGTCTTGTCCTAAATGCGAGTTATATGGTTAACAGTAGTGGTAGTAGACTGTTCTAAAGTTCATATAGTGTGTTGCTTTGAGAATTATGTCAAAGTGATGTAATAAATCATTTAGGATGTGTGAATTATCGATGCAAAGAAAAATATATTTAAAAAAATTATAGATTCTTTTGGCTCTGTAGGTATGGAATAGTCTATCTATTGGTTTTTTCACCTTGAGTACTACCAATGGAGCAAAGGGAAGCAGCTGCACACATCCATCTTACTAATTATAGGGTTATTCCCCTTCGCTGGTCTACCAACCACAGACGCTTGGAAAAAGATATCCGACTATGACATATTATGCTAAGCTTCAATCTAAAATGGAGATATATAATAGGATTACTCAGGGGCGTAGCGAGGGGGGTGCGGACCGCACCGGGTGACACCATTTGGGGGGGGGGGGTGACACCAAGGCAAAAAATAGCAAAATATATAGAGAAAAATGATAATTCCAATTAATAGAGTGATTAATTAGAGTGTTAAATAGCCTTTTAAGAGGTAGTGGTGCAAATCGAAAGTTTGAGGGGGGGGTGCAAATCGAAGGTTTGAGGGGGGTGCAAATCGAAAGTTTGAGGGGGGTGTAAATCGAAAATTGAAGGGAAGGGTCGTTGCGCCTCTGGGGGGTGACACCATTAAGTGCCGCACCGGGTGACACCCGACCTCGCTACGCCACTGGGATTACTACATCTGGGGTATTGCATCTCACAATACAATCTGTAACTATGGTAACATACCGTGGTATATGATAAAGTAATAAAAATATGGGTTTTGTTTCCAGCTGATTAAAAGATCAGCTCAACTGTTACAATTGGATATGGAGATTTTGTACCCAGGATTTTAGGTAGCTCGAGCATTAATGGGACAATTAATAAGTTGGTGGCATCGCCATTAAGAGAGGTTGAGCACATATAAGAGGATGCACAAGAATTTTAGCACACATTTCGCCTTTACATAGCGAGGACAGGAACCAAACGTTGGCCCAAATAAGGTTTGCTCAAAGGCTGTTTTAACGATTTTAAACGCACGATCTAAATGTATGTGAATATTTTTTTTTAATTTATGTTTATTTTTATGTTCACTCTACTCCACCTTCATGCGTAATTAATGTAGCCGAAACTGGTCAACGCGTTGATTAAACAATGTGCTCATTATATCAAACAACACATGAGTGTACGAATGTTTGCTTGTAATACAGCACCTCATGACAAGATCTCCATCATGTACAGACTCCATCAGTGTGTAGTTTGTTTTCTATACCTGTTTAATTAGGTACTCGATTTAAATGTTATCCTGTTATAGTTTAGTCTTTACAAAAGTTGATAAAAATAGAATGCTTTGTGTGCAGTGGCGGATTAAGGAGAGGCTGGGAGGGCCCCCAAATTTTCTCCAATAGTAAACTTTACTTTTTACTTTCTCGTATATACGAAGTATAGAGAAAGTCTTGTAATCGTGCAAAAAAAAAAATCGAGATTTTTACAAATCTCGACGTTTTACACCTCATTGATACGGAAAAACATAATTTTGCAATCTTGTCCGTGTGTCTGTCTGTGTGTCTGTCTGTCTGTCTGTCAGTGTGTAAACACGATAACTTGAGTACCGTTACAGCTAGGTTGATGAAATTTCATATATAAGTATTTTATCAAAATCGTAGATCCGTATCAACTTTTGAGCGATTTCCGATAACCGGAAGTGGTACTTTTCCTACTTTGAATTTTTCAAAAGCCTATAACTTGAGTACTATTTCAGATAGATAAATGAAATTTCAAATGTAAGTAAAAGATCTAATTCTCTACCTTCTGTTAAATTTTGAGTAATTTCCGTTGACTGGAAGTAGTACTTTACGCTACTTCCGATTTTTCAAAAAACTAATGTAAATTTTAAAAGTACAAATAATATTGCGCACTATTATGCGCTTTTTTATTTGGCGTTCACTTGGTGTGCAATTAATTTGTCTACGAGATTTTATTCTATTTTTAAAACTTTAAGTATTTAAAATGGATTAAAAATCATGACTATAGCCCGAGTTCCCAACTGTTATTTTATATAAGAATATTCGAGAAAGTTTAGGTGAGATCACTCCCGGTTTATTTTGATCATTTTTGTTGGGGCGTGGATTTGTCCACACTACTGTCAGGGCGTGCTGTGTGAAACCTTGAGTGTAGGTTAATAACACTCCGTAAGTTGTGGGCAGGTTGTAGTGTGGTGGAGGGCAGGTTGTGTGGTGGGCAGGTTGTGGTGGTGTGGTGGTGGGTAGGTTGTATTGTGGTTGGTGGGCAGGTTGTGTGGTGGGCAGGTTGTTGTGTGGTGGTGGGTAGTTTGTAGTGTTGTGGTGGGCAGGTTGTTGTGTGGTGGTGGGCAGGTTGTGTGGTGGTGGGCAGGTTGTAGCGTGGTGGTGGGCAGGTTGTAGCGTGGTGGTGGGTAGGTTGTAGTGTGGTGGTGGGCAGGTTGTGTGGTGGTGGGCAGGTTGTAGCGTGGTGGTGGGCAGGTTGTAGCGTGGTGGTGGGCAGGTTGTAGCGTGGTGGTGGGTAGGTTGTAGTGTGGTGGTGAGCAGGTTGTGGTGGTGGGTAGGTTGTAGTGTGGTGGTGGGCAGGTTGTTGTGTGGTGGTGGGTAGTTTGTAGTGTTGTGGTGGGCAGGTTGTTGTGTGGTGGGCAGGTTGTGTGGTGGGCAGGTTGTAGCGTGGTGGTGGGCAGGTTGTAGCGTGGTGGTGGGTAGGTTGTAGTGTGGTGGTGGGTAGGTTGTAGTGTGGTGGTGGGCAGGTTGTAGCGTGGTGGTGGGCAGGTTGTTGTGTGGTGGTGGGCAGGTTGTGGTGGTGGGCAGGTTGTGTGGTGGTGAGCAGGTTGTGGTGGTGGGTAGGTTGTAGTGTGGTGGTGGGCAGGTTGTAGCGTGGTGGTGGGCAGGTTGTAGCGTGGTGGTGGGCAGGTTGTAGCGTGGTGGTGGGTAGGTTGTAGTGTGGTGGTGAGCAGGTTGTGGTGGTGGGCAGGTTGTAGCGTGGTGGTGGGCAGGTTGTTGTGTGGTGGTGGGCAGGTTGTATTGTGGTGGTGGGCAGGTTGTAGTGTGGTGGTGGGCAGGTTGTTGTGTGGTGGTGGGCAGGTTGTTGTGTGGTGGTGGGCAGGTTGTTGTGTGGTGGTGGGTAGGTTGTAGTGTGGTGGTGGGCAGGTTGTGTGGTGGGCAGGTTGTAGCGTGGTGGTGGGCAGGTTGTAGCGTGGTGGTGGGCAGGTTGTTGTGTGGTGGTGGGCAGGTTGTAGCGTGGTGGTGGGCAGGTTGTGGTGGTGGGCAGGTTGTGTGGTGGGCAGGTTGTTGTTTGGTGGTGGGCAGGTTGTAGTGTGGTGGTGGGCAGGTTGTAGCGTGGTGGTGGGCAGGTTGTAGTGTGGTGGTGGGCAGGTTGTTGTGTGGTGGTGGGCAGGTTGTTGTGTGGTGGTGGGCAGGTTGTTGTGTGGTGGTGGGCAGGTTGTAGCGTGGTGGTGGGCAGGTTGTGGTGGTGGGCAGGTTGTAGCGTGGTGGTGGGTAGGTTGTAGTATGGTGGTGGGCAGGTTGTGTGGTGGGCAGGTTGTTGTGTGGTGGTGGGCAGGTTGTAGCGTGGTGGTGGGCAGGTTGTAGTGTGGTGGTGGGCAGGTTGTGTGGTGGGCAGGTTGTGGTGGTGGGCAGGTTGTTGTGTGGTGGTGGGTAGGTTGTAGTATGGTGGTGGGCAGGTTGTGTGGTGGGCAGGTTGTAGAGTGGTGGTGGGCAGGTTGTGTGGTGGGCAGGTTGTAGCGTGGTGGTGGGCAGGTTGTAGCGTGGTGGTGGGTAGGTTGTAGTGTGGTGGTGAGCAGGTTGTGGTGGTGGGCAGGTTGTAGCGTGGTGGTGGGCAGGTTGTGGTGGTGGGCAGGTTGTAGCGTGGTGGTGGGTAGGTTGTATTGTGGTGGTGAGCAGGTTGTGGTGGTGGGCAGGTTGTTGATTGGTGGTGGGCAGGTTGTAGCGTGGTGGGCAGGTTGTAGAGTGGTGGTGGGCAGGTTGTTGTGTGGTGGTGGGTAGGTTGTAGTGTGGTGGTGGGCAGGTTGTTGTGTGGTGGTGGGTAGGTTGTAGTGTGGTGGTGGGCAGGTTGTGTGGTGGGCAGGTTGTAGCGTGGTGGTGGGCAGGTTGTAGCGTGGTGGTGGGCAGGTTGTGTGGTGGGCAGGTTGTGGTGGTGGGCAGGTTGTTGTGTGGTGGTGGGTAGGTTGTAGTGTGGTGGTGGGTAGGTTGTAGTGTGGTGGTGGGTAGGTTGTAGTGTGGTGGTGGGCAGGTTGTGTGGTGGGCAGGTTGTGGTGGTGGGCAGGTTGTTGTGTGGTGGTGGGTAGGTTGTAGTGTGGTGGTGGGTAGGTTGTAGTGTGGTGGTGGGCAGGTTGTAGTGTGGTGGTGGGCAGGTTGTGTGGTGGGCAGGTTGTGGTGGTGGGCAGGTTGTAGCGTGGTGGTGGGCAGGTTGTAGTGTGGTGGTGGGTAGGTTGTAGTGTGGTGGTGGGCAGGTTGTAGCGTGGTGGTGGGCAGGTTGTAGTGTGGTGGTGGGTAGGTTGTAGTGTGGTGGTGGGCAGGTTGTAGTGT